AAATCATGCTCCTACCTTGGACCTCCAGCACCAGGTGGTCCACCTCTGCCCCTTCCTAGGTGACCACCTCGCCTCTGCCTGAACCATCTTGGATCCATTCAGGAAGTGGGGATCCATTACGCGTCATGCTCCCAGTTCCTACCGAGACAAAATCAGTCAAGTGTGCATAGCCAGAGAAGAAATAGCTTGCATGTGTTTGAAGCAAGTGTTAAGTTTTGAGTGTACAAAATGTTCTGTAAACAGCTTTAGAGATTGTTTCGGACACATACCGGGTTAGGAACTTCTTGCCTCCTCCATGGCATGAGCCATGCGCAGATAGGCTTCTGGTATGGGTGCCATCACCTCAATGAACACATGCAGCTCCATAACAGGTGAGCGTATTTGGCCTCACCGCCCTTCCTCAGCTCTTCCTCCTTGTAAACATGTTGATTTTAATGATAAACAAGGCATCCGGATACACAGCATTTACATCCTTTGAAGAGGGCAGCTAGGAAATGTCACCATATACCTTATTCTTGTCCCTCATGGACCCTTTCCCCAGAACTGAGATCTTTGCACCGGTCTCTTCCTGGAGTCTCTTGATTGTGCTGCCCTGAGGTCCCAGAAGCTTACCAACAAAGTTGACCTGTAGGGAATATTTTAGCAAAATTAAAGCATTGTATTACAGAAAAGCAGATTAGGTAAATATAACTGCAGGTTTAAATAAAATAATTGGATTGAAATCAGGTAGTAAGAATCACATTCGGCCCAACAATGTCTTAGCACTACAGTAGTTGCTACAGCCCCCTCCTCTTCACACAGAGACTGCATTTTCAGACTACTGCAAAATTGTTCACGCAGAAACAAGCTCAATAGGGCATTGTGTGCTCAACTGGATAAATCATGGGACAGCAAAGCTGAGGGGAAGGGGGTGTCAATCAGATACAGTATTGTCAGACATGTAACAAAATTTTATGTTTAACTTCAGTGTGAAGTTTTTAGGTCCCACTGGGCCCCATTTTAGGAGTCACCAAATGGCTTACTCAGTCGACTGATCAAATCGGCATGGGTAGCCAAGCCCCATGGAGACAACAGGCAGTGGCCATGCCCTGAATGAGTAAAATAAGAGGGAAACACTTACTCTAGGGTACTGTTTAGTAGGAATGAGTACTCGCTCTTTGAGTTTGAGATTCTTGGTAGCAAACAGATCCAGGTAGGTTTCCTTCTCTGGCTCTTTCTTGGTCTCTCCTTTCTGGATCCTCTCAATTTCTGCAAGCAAGAAAAAGGTTTTTAAGCACATCATATTCACAGATGCAGTGACCAATAGTTGCAAGTTACATAGAAATGTATTTGCAACGTTAGCCATATTAGGCCACATATCCTTTATCTTGTAGCAGCATGCACACCACTAAAAACAGTATCTATATATTATAACGTTAATGCTCTTAATATCGAGTTTTTGGGCAAATTCAAATATCAAAAGGAGGTACCATGTAAGAGAGCGTCCCTTGCAAAAATGAGTCCTACTCGATGAGGCGAACTAAAGCTCAGCGAACTTCAGTATTCGCATCAGATTAAATAAAAATTCTTGCATAGATTACATAAACATATTTAAACATCAAATCTACTTCCTTTTTAATTAAATAAACCCCAATACAGTCATTCGAGAGGGTTTGACCCACACCGCCAACAAACACGTGTTTCATGCACCATTGTTCAGGCCTCTGTATGCCAGACCAGTCCAAGAAAAGAAAAGAGATACCAGGGCCCAGCGCCATGCTACCTTTAGCTAGTCTGTGTTAGCCTCGATGAGATATCGTACAAGCACATTACCTGCAGAAATAAGTTTCATGGCGTGCGTGAACGATGAATCCAAGCTGTCTTTTTCAGCCAGGAGCTCCGGGAGGTATTTAGTGTCTTCCATTTTGATTTTCTTCTGTGCTGGGCTCGACTCTACGGCAGACTCAGATTTGCTGTTAGCATCCGCTTGGCTCATAATGCACTAGGACGACCAGATTAACGAACGAAGCCTTGCTAGGTTCGTTATCTTCGCCTGAAATAAGACAAAGTACTAAGTAAACAACGGCGAGTTCCGACTGGTGCGCGATCAACGATTAAGCTGCAAAGCCCCCACCGGTATCTCTCTGTGGCAAGTCGTCTCACTCTCTTCTTCAAAGGACAAAGGAAGAATGGCGCAGCTGCATTTGAGTGTGGAGGGAGGAAGAAGCACGGGAGAAGACAATGACGTCACAGACAGACAGAGTGCACCATGGTAAATCCCCTTCATTTTGATTAAAAACCGATGTTAGAGACACTGGGTACAGGTTTTTTTTGGGGGGGGCTTATCTTATTAGGAAAGAGAAAGGAGTTAATTTAAACCAGGTAACGTTAATGGTCGTCTTAAGACGACAGTATATTCTGTTAACATGGCAAATTTCAGGCTAAACGATAAAACAGTTCTAAATATTGATGCTGATTATCTGTCGATGAAAATAATCAGTCTATTAATTTCAGCTCTTATAATAATATTAATTAAAAATAAGTACTTACTGAGAAGAAATATAGCTTGTATACATTATCATCCTTGACATATTCAATAATAAATAAAATAAAATTTTTGTCCTATCATAAACAGACTGTTGTATAGGAGTCAGTTTTTATGTTTAAAACATACCACTTGGGTTTAGGAAGAAATTCTTATAAACTGGGCCTGGATGAAAACACACACTTTTGCCACTTTAACTGATTTTAGGGGCATTTACTAAACTCTAAAATAATGTATAACTGTTACACTATATCAGATAACAATTTGCGGCACAAAAATTTGTGATCCTTGTACAGGGTCAGTTGAAACAATGGGATGATTTTTAATTATGAAATATAGAAAAGCAAGCAAATCACACATTTGAGAGGGTGTAACCAGCAAATGTTTGTTTTGGGAAACAAACAAATTGACAAATTGTTATCTTTCAATTTTCTATCAATCACCTCATCAATAAAGCTATTGTTTAACTAGTAAAAACACTGTTGGCATCAAGCCAATATGTTACAAAGAAAACGCCCTGTCATTCTTCCATACAGTCTTTGATGTTGACTCATTGGAAGCCTTCCTTTAAGATCCTTTGAACAGACCTAAACAGAGCATTAGTAAAGTACGCTCAAGTAGAAATCAACAAATAAGTATTAGATGACTTAACTGGATGTCTGTGCGTTGAACAATCAGTATTATTAACAATAATGCATACATTTATTTTTGTTGTTGTATGCTGTGTAAGCTCCCATTTACTGCTCTGTCCTCTCCAATGACTAAACATCCATAAAACTTTCAAAAGTAAGATTTTACTTAGAGCACCAGAAATCATTTAATCAATCCCAAAGCAGAAAAATAAACATGTGTTGATTGATACAATGATTAATAAAAAACATCAACATTTCTGGTGATAAATAATAAAAATTTGCAATAGCAATTAAAGTAAAACTGGATTGACAAATGTGTTAAAAACCATTATACATCATTCTAAATCAGTTTTACTTTTCAATGATTTAACAGTTCTATCACATCCATGAAACATATTTCCCTACATATTCTTACAATTCTCGAAAGTCTCACTTTTATTGAAGTTTTTGTGATTTCTGAAATAATGCAGCTCATTAACTACCAATGTCATAACAAATCTATAATCTGTCAAACAGCTTTTCCACTGTAATGTGTGCATCCACAATCACAAGAAATGGCTCCATTAGTAAATAGTTCACCCTACAAGTAGAAAACCAAATCAGTCACATCAATCAATACCCAGTGCCTTAGAGAAAGGGCCATTTAAATTGGCCATGTAGATATTCCAGTTCCATTGAACAAGGAGTGCAGTCCGCTTCTGGTGGTATCGTCAGATATCAATAATGGTAAATATCTCTGGTTTTTCTTTGTCGTGGATCTGCATTGCTGAGTATGTGATGGCTTTAACCTCAGTTCCCTGGATTGACAACAAAGGACATGGTGGAACAGGTTAAAGCCTTCTGTACTTTATTCCATAACTTTATTACATACAGAATTATATTCGGAACAATCTTACAGTGATATTCTTTAGTGGTATCTTCAAACAAGTTTCATTTATTGGCTTACCTGTGGATGCTTTGCCGGAGAGAATTCTTCACCCCAACTTTAATAAACGAAAGAAAAATAATGAGAGATCAGCTTAAGGGAAATAAATACAATAGTTGTTGTCAGATAAGCCGAGTGCAATCAGTTTAGGAAAATACACAGTGCAAATATTTACAGTGTGCAACAGTATTTGAATATGCATAATGTACAAAGTATGGGGAATTGAGGAGATCAAGGAACTGTGATGGGTGACACATTGTCAGTCTGTGTAGCGGGGTGCAAGTGGCAGGTGGGAATGGTGGGACTGTGAGAGGGGTCTATGAGGTTTATGGCCTGAGGGGAAATAAATGAGGCGATGGCATTAAGTCCTAGTTTTTAGGGCTCTCATTCTCATTGTTTGCATCCTCTGCACATTGGCTTCTGGGTGTACAATCATTGGTGTAGAGTGAGTACAGCAGTGGAAAGAGCGCACAGCTCTGAGGGGTACCAGTGCTGAGGTATAGTTGTCTTGAAATGTGGTCACAGACTTTGGCAAAGTGTCTCCTGTTGGAAAGGAAGTTATGAATCCACCGGCAGACAGGAGTGGAGTTCATAGCAGAGGCGTCAACTGTAGTACTATGAAGGTTTAGGTTTAAAATTTGTGCATGTCTGAAGTTCCAGCAGTACTGTTCCAGTTTGTTGTACAGCTGTTTGGCTGACTTTACTGGCTTTCTGAATGTCTCCTTTGCATTTTTCTAAGCCAATCGGTCACCACTCCTGTAGGATTCTTCCATCGTGAATAAAAAGCTTCCTGAGCTCAGTCAGTGGAGTCCGTGCAGTCTCTTACTGTGCATTCAGACCAAATGCGAATTTAATCCACGTAACACTTTCCTCACGGGGGGTTTTATCACTGGACATCCCTGGAGTGTTCACACACAACGCGATAACACGAATAAACACAACTCGCCCTTACTACAGCTGTGTGAACCCAAAGTAAACATTTTGCTGTGATTAAATAGCAACAAATGATCAAACTGATGCTGAAATAACTAAAATATGATGCAGATTTGTTAAATATATGAATTCACGCTTTGTCAGGTCTGTCAGCAAGACAGCAGGACAACAACTTCTAAAATGTTTGTTTTCTGAATGGAGTTCGGCTCGATCAAGGCTATGATATTCTAACTTGGTCACAGTAAAATACAACGATAGCTGGAATAAAGTTACATACACATGTTTTCTGAACTCACCAGGTAGTTCAACCTCCTCGCTTTCTTTTCTCCCAGCAATTTCTCCCTGTTTTGTCCGGTTTTTATATAAATATATAGTGCCAAACAACGCTAACAACACTGGAACCGGATGTGCACAGAATCTAGCTGCTGAGAAGCTCGAGTGAAGATAAATCAACGTTGTAATCCCAAAAACTAAAGTAAAAAGCTAATTTAATAAAAGCAGTTTACTCCGAGCTCCTCCCTTGAGCAAACGGCGTAGTTGTCAGAGCAGAATCCAGTTTGACCATGGGTGTTTATTTGTCCAAAAGCTGGAGCACTGCTCCCTGCTCCTCTAGCCCAAGTTTAGCAGCTCTCAGCTGGCCTGCAGATTTTCAATCGCCTGCTCTGCCTGGCTCTCTCCACACAACGCTCTGAGGCTGTCGGTGACGTATTGACAATCTCAACGTTGATAGAATATCGTGATTTAGCATCATGCAAATTTCTTCGCGTTGCCTTCGCGTCGCCGGCACCGCCCCCTTCGCGCCGCCCGACAGGAAGTCGCGGCTCTACGTGTCTTTGCATTGACTTTGTATGTAAACTCACAGACCCGAACGCTCGCTTTGCTTTTGGTCTGAAAGCACCATTAGAGTCTCTCTGGCCTTAGGGGACCATATTTTCACAGTCCCCCCCCCCCCAATGTGGATACCTTATGCTGCGTTCCAGGCAACCATGAACTCGGAAATTCCCGACCTCCAACTCGAACTATTACCACGCAACGCCACCTGAAGTCGGATTTCCTACTTGTGAACTTGGAGAAAAAATATGTACTCCAACTTCGCGAGTAACAGCTGAATGACGTCACACAACAATGGCAGCGCCCATGGAAACACTCATTGTAAATTGATAAACAATAACCTAAAAGGCAACCAAGCATTTTTGCATGTATTTAATGTATAAATACTATCATATAGTAAAACCTGTTCTGCATGTAAATTGATGTAGAAATATGTTATTAGGTAGCTGGTTACAATAAAGAATCTCATAAAGTCATCTTCTTTGCATAAAAGTTTTTGTTAGAAATGCCAAAACATTTGAAAACAGTAGGAATTATATTCTACAACACTGACTGACTCTTGAGGATTACCAACTGATGTAGCACCATGTACATTGATGTAGAAATATTTTGCCAATGTTATTAGGTAGCTGATTAAAGTAGCCTAAAGAATCTCTGAAAGTCATCTTCTCTACCCAAAAGTTTTTCAGGAAAGTGTTAATGCCCAGAAATGTGAAAACATTTGGAAATATAGCCTACAACTTTTGCTGACTTTTGAGGATTTCTAATTGATGTAGCTACAAGGACACACAGTTAACAAGTAACCTATCGAGTAACAAGTAATTTATCGCTTGTTTTTAATAAAATGGCCATCCTTTTAATTAACACCAAGTGCACTGCTGAGGGTTTAACTGTACACATAAGTTTGTCATTACATTTGGCGTCATGTACCACCATGCAACTGAAACGTTTTAAGGTCAGAAGTCAGATATTTCAGCTTGGAAATTTCCCAGTTCCGACCGGTTTGGAACGCAGCATTATATGCATCCTCGATGGTACTATAGCTGTGAAGAGTGCAATATGTTCTAGTGAAGAGGTACCCAAACTTACCCAATGGAGCGGATCTTGAAGCGCATTCTGTCAACGTGCAAAACTTTGATCTCCTAGTGGATAGATATAACATAATTGTGTCAGGAGAATAACACAGGAAAAGAAATACTCAATTAATAAACATGATCTTAACATAGTGTTCCCATCAAACAAGAATCAAAATACATGTTATGCAAATGGACTCATTCAATAAGCAACTGTGGTACGAAGGGCTTTTAGGGGTACTAACACAGCTTTCCCCAGATAATGTTAGGGTCAATTGCTGAGCCAAAG